ATTTATTTCTATGGTTTATTATGATTTTTTGGCATGATTTAATTATGATATTGTTGCATGATATTTATGATTTTTCTATGATATTTTGATAATACCTTTGTAAGACATTATTTTGTAAATAAATAAAAGGAATTAGAATCTGATTTTTTTGTTAGATATTTAATGAATCCAACGACAAAACCTCTTCAAGTGAACAACAAATTTATCTTAAATACTCTTGAAGTGAGGAAAAAAAATATTTTTTGGTGAAAAGCTAAAAACTTTTTTTCAATGTTTAAATTTTGAAATTAATAAAAATCATATTTGATTAAGGCTTAAACAAGATAACATGTGATTACTTTTGTATCGATTTTGGATTATGGAGTGCCAAAACCTTTCCTATACCTCAGATTTAATTCTATTAAAGTAGACTAGAATCTATTTTTTTTTAGGAATCCTTAGTTTAAGCTTATAATAAGCTTAGAAATAATAGATTCATTTAAATGGTCAATCACACATAATTAGAAAAAAAATTGATGGCAACTTCATAATTTTTGTGTCTAATGAATAGATGCTTCAATTGTAAACGTTATGACAAACATACAAAATATGTTAGTATAAATAAACTATAGGTTGATGTTTGCATCAAGCCAAATTAAAGTGACGCTGGTAGCTTGTATGAACATTTTCTATTAGCTTTTTTGGCATGATGATTTTTTTTTTTAATATGGCTGATAATTGTACAATGTCAAAGTTTTAGATTGTGAAAAAAAATGACCGTTTTTAAAAAAAATAGTGGATTGGCAAATGAATTTAATGGATGAAATTAGCTCAAAATTATTAATTCATGTAAAGTACCTAATAAGAGTAATCTCTTCTTATTCCATAAATTCTCAACTTTTATTCATTCTCAAGATTCAAACCTAAAACCTCGAATTAAAATCCTAATTTTGTTTGTTGGGATATGCCCTTTGATACTAATATAAACAACGATGATAAAAGCAATATGTTTTGACACGTAAAAAATTTTATTCTTGAGTACAGAAATAACATCGGAACAGAATAGGACCATTAAGATAATTTCCATGGAATAGCCCATGTCAATGCGGGGCAAACTTATTGCAGTGGCCCAAAGAAACAAATATTGACCAACGACTTTACTCATTTTCCAATTAAAAGTTAGAAAAAAAAAAAAAAAAGCCTTTTTGTTCGGCTGTCAATTGTCCTTTTCATGCCAAAGAAAAACCAATTTTTTTTTTCTGATGGCCAAATCAATACGCTGAAATTGTGGCCACATTTGATATGATTTAAAGACAGCATTAATTTCCTGATATTCACAACTTGTAGTTTGGAAATGTGGTTGACTGACTCAAGACTTACATGATCAAATTTTACCATCTAACCCAAAAAAAAAAAAAGTTTAATTAGTTGCATTGCACTCTTGTCAATTCAATTGTTTTTAGTAGGGCACTTCGTGGCTATAGAAATCAATCAATTATTGACAAAACAAAAAAAAAAATGTAAATTATATATTGCATATGATACAGCAAAAAGCTATTGAGGAATCTATTATGCGACGTTGACAATGAATAGAAATCTAGAAAGGAAATTGTTCATCATTAAATAAATAAAATGAAAATACAAAAGAAATTGCTCATCAACATTATACAAAAAGTAAATGGCTTTTTAACTTAATTTCTTGTTTGTTCTTATAAATGTCATGATTATTGATAATTTACACTTGTTTTGTGACGGGTTTAATGTTTCTTTAAAACAATGAAAAGTTAGCATATTTGAAAAAAAAAAAATCAAATGTGAAATTGTAGACACCTCAGTCCACTCTCATGCATTCAGTCAAGGTCCATCTTTGCAGAATAACCCTTTCTAATGTGAAATGTGAAATCTTCTCTTCTAACGTGGGATTGGGATTCCCACTTTCTAATTTGAAAATTTAGGAAAAATATAATGACTTTCAATTGCTTATCTATATCAATTTCACAAATGATCAAATTACGGTCCAATAACTCACGCTATGGAATTAACCATAAAATGATTAAAGACCCCAAAATAAGGGGCATTCCATTTGTCACCCTTGACATGGCCAAAATTGAAGACCTTGGCACTCTAAGGCTCCAACTATATTTTCATTATTTTAACTCATTATAACATCTCAATAAAATCAAAATAAAGGGTAAATTCATTTGAATCACAAATTCAAAGCTTTGCCTCCAAAGATTGAGCATTTAATTTCACCTTATTTTAAGAAGAAAAAGTAACGTGAGTTAAATTGTGTAGACAAATGCATATTCGTTTTAACAATCCTTAATTACTTGCCTAATAGAAAGTCTCACATTCACGTTGTAGACTAATCGATTGTTTCTAATTAAAGGCTCAATATAGGGAAAAACGTTCTTTGTAGATAGACGAAAAGTTTTTTTCAAATACGCATATTTTTGACTGACCTCAAAACCTAAAGAATACTTTGATAATTGGTTTCCCACTATTTTGAGGAACTCTGTTTTTTATTTCTTGAAGAGTTGAGAAAGACTGACTCCTCTCCAAAAGAAATCAAATCTCTAAGTTTAGAATAATGATTTCCAATTCTAAACAATCTGTACAAGGAAAAAAACTTTTTTGTTTAAAACATTTTGCGGAAACTTAAATCAACCAAAACAAATAAACATCAAATACAACATAGAACTTTATAGCAATTCAGCAATTCATGTAATGTTCAAGACCACACATTAGAACAAAAGCCCACAAACACAGTTAATTTATTAAGGCAAGCACTCAAATACGAATGAATTGAGCTGAAACTATGGATTTGCTAAGCTTAAAGGAAATCAAGAAAGACAAACCCATAAGCTCAAAGGAGTCAAATAGAAAAGCCAGCTACATGAAGGTTCTCTTCAATAGGCCCGCTTATTTGACTCATGTAAAAACTTGATTTTAATCTTCTTCAGCTTAGCAACAACTTCTTTCATGTCAATCCTCTCTTCTGGAACTTCTTCTGAACATTCCAATGCTAATTGCAAAATAGATAAAGCACAATCTCTTGTGGCAGAGTATTGTCTTTCTTTATTATTTAATAAATTGGTATCTACAACTTCCATTAATGCTGATGGTAATGACTGTTTCACCCAATATTTTATGCTCATTTCCCCAGCAAAAATTTCATCTGTGGGTTTCTTTCTTGTGAAGGCCTCCATTAAAAGAATACCAAAGCTGTACACATCACCTTTTGTTGAAACAATTCCTTTTGATCCGTATTCTACATGTAAATTGTCAAAATCATCATCAAAGCATACAATGATGTTACGTTAGTCATCATAATAGGATAAAAGAGTTTTAAATTTTCTATTACCTGGTGACAAATACCCAATCGTTGCTAGTGTCATGGTGTGTATTGTTGAATCGTGTTCACCTAATAGCTTTGCAATGCCAAAATCACCCAAATGTGCAACCATATCTTCATCAAGAAGAATGTTGTTGGGTTTTAAATCGCAATGGATCACAGGTGTTGTATAACCATGATGAAGGTATTCTAATGCAGATGCCACATCGATCATTATGTTCAACCTCTGCAAGATATCCAAAAAATGGTTATGAGAGTACAACCACTTCTCTAGACTTCCACCAGGCATGAACTCAAGAACCAAGGCTTTAAAAATCAACGTTAGAACAGCTACTGATGATTTTGACTAAATTTCGATGGCGAATGTTACGGAGGACCTCGCACTCAACGCCAAAGCTCTTAAATGCTCCTTCTAACTCCAAATTGAAGACCTTTACTGCAACGCTTAACCCATCTGAAAGAATTCCTTGGTATACTGATCCAAAACTCCCCACACCAAGTAATTTGCTTTCAGAAAATGCATATGTAGCCTGTTGAAGCTCTTGGTATGAAACTCTTCTCCATTCTGCTAATGCTGGGAAATTTTCTTGAGCAGTTGGCAGATTTGCATTCCTTTTTCCTCTTCGTGAAAAAGTGAGAATCACTGCAAGTACTAATATTATTGAGCCAATTGGAAATAAAATGTGTTCAACAAGTTGAATAGCTTTCCTCGAATGCTTTCCAAAAGAATTAGCCTTGCATGCTGGGAGTGGGAGTTGCAGTTGAGGTACGGCACATAAGCGCTTTATTTCCCATGAAAGATTGAATGGAGAAGTTGGTAAAGGATCCTTTGTTAGGAATTTCTCCTTGTAATCTATTGAATGAGACATTAAAATGTTCAAGATACAAGAGCTTCTCTAAAGACTTGGGGATGATTCCTGAGAAATTGTTCCTTGACAAATCCAGGACTTGTAAACTTATTAGACCCCCCAATGACTCAGGTATAGGTTCTTGCAATCTGTTACCAGATAATGAGAGATAGGTCAAGTCCCTATGATCACCAATGCTCATTGATATTTCACCTGATAATTGATTTTTGGAAAAATCAATGCTAGTGATAACCTTCCACTTTCCAATGTCAACTGGGAGGGGCCCGCTTAAACAATTGGAAGACAAGTTTAGCTGTAAGATATCTGTAAGCCTTGTCAAGGTTGAGGGTATTGAGTTGGCAAACTTGTTGGAGCCCAAAAATAGATATCTAAGAGAAACAAGATCACCTAAACATGCTGGTATTGGTCCAACCAATTTGTTACCGGTAAAATACAGGTAACTCAAACTCTTTAAATTGCATAACTCAGCTGGGAAGAATCCTTCTAAATTGTTGCCTTGAAGAGATAGACGTTGTAAATTTTTTAATCTTCCAATTGTGGTGGGAAGAGATCCACCCAGTTTATTGTTATCTAGGTCCAACCAAATCAAGTTGCTTACATTGCCAATTTCTCCTGGAATACTGCCTTTAATGTTGCAACCATAAGCTACAAAATTTTCAACAGAGAGATTTCCTATAGAAACCGGAAGTTTACCACTGATCATAGGATTGATGATAAACTCCAATACTCTCAAGTGTTTGCAATTTGCCAATGAAGATAAAAAGCTCAACTCTGAGGACGAAGGTGTGCTAGCCAAATTATTCTGACCTACCCCCGAGAATTTGTAGATCTCTTAAATTGCCAAGGTCAATAGGAATATATCCAGAAAACGAGTTGCCGTCAATGTTAAGAATAGTAAGCCGAGAGGCATTGGAAATGGAGACAGGTATCAATCCACTTAATTCATTTGCTGCAAGTTCAAGGATTTCAAGCTTCGGAAGCCAAAGACCTGTGTTTGATGGAAGATAGCCTGAGAGCTGGTTTACTGTTAGAACAATGAATCTCACATTTGAGCTATTAAAAATGCGAGGAGGGATGATTCCAGAGATACTATTAAATGCCAAATACAATTCTTCCAATTTTGGTAGGTTGCCAAATTGAAGTGGTATATTACCTGCCACAAAAATCAAAGGGTAATTCCATTGTCCTATATTGATCCACACAATAAATGACAAAAACAAATGAAAATGTTATTTGCACGTATCTGTCGCTATTGTTAATTTTATATCATTCTTAATAATTAGCGTCAGTAACATAATCAGTCAAATAACTAACTTCAACAAAATAAAATGATTTTGAAATCTAACATACTAATCGACGATGAAAACGGTTAGACTTTATTAAATTAAAAAAATAAACAAAATAAAAAATGATATGGCTTGGAATAGTTGTCTACTTTAAATTAAATTAATGATTTTATACTAGCTGGGTTTAGATTTTACAAAAAGCTTTTGCCTAATTCAAAAGCCATGGACATCTCTATGCACCATTTAAATCTATTTCTTGCTTATTCTCTGGATTCAACCATTCCTATTTCCCATTCATTTCATCGATCTTACAATTCTATGAAAAATAAAGAAGGTTATGTAACTACAACTACAATAAGAGAGTCTAATTATAATAATATTAATATTCACTAATAATAAAAACATTAATATTCAAATATTAAAAAGATGAAGTTATAACACAAATGGAAATAATGTGATATATTACCGGTCAAGATATTGAAGGAAAAATGAAGAACTTTCAAAGATGTTAGGTTGCCAATGACGGAAGGAATAGCCCCTATTAGTTGACACTTTGGAAGACTTAATATCTCCAAACTCAGAAGATTACCAATCTGTGGTGGAATTTTACCTGCATTTATAATGAAATTTTATTTCATGTTAAAATTATTGGTAAATTTCGTTTTCTTATACATGAATACGTCTTATTTCTTTGTTAATCACGAAAGAATTAAACAATGTTCAAGTAATACAACGCATTAATTCCCGCACAAATAATTTATTTTTTATGTTTAATATGAATAAAATATATTAAAATGAAAAAAAAATATATTAATAGTACATACAAGGTGGTAATAATTAATTGGTGAATGATTAGTCAATGAAAACTACATGCATGATTATTAAAGTAAAAGTTTGGGATTAAATGAGAAAATCTAAAAGTAAAAAAGAAGTGAGTCGAATTTAAATAATAATAAAAAAACAAGGAAAGTAAAAAAAGGACGTGACACTAATCACAAAAAATAAAAATAAAAATGAACAAAAAAAAAAAGAAAGAATCTCAAAAGCCTGAACATTATTTGCTGACAGCAAAAAGGATGTGAAGCATAACAGTAAAGCAACTAGAATTTTTTAATATAATTTTCATTGTTTTATTTAGCTACAAATTGAATAAGGTATGGTGTTAACTTAAGTGGTTTCCTAATTTATATTCTAGCAAAATTGGTACTGAAAAACCAGTCTCGACGAACATAAAATCATATACTTTACACAAAAAGAAGATGCTAAAGAAATTAAAGTTAAATTAAGGGAAAAATGCCTAAATTAAAAAGTGATAGGTAAAATGAAATTTAAAAAAATTTGAGATTTGCCAAAAAGTGACATTGTCATTGTTCAAAAAGAAATAAACTCAACAATAATTTTCCTTTTACCTTTGAGGTTGTTGATGCCAAGATACAACTCCTTAAGCATAGTCAAATTTCCTATTTCTCCAGGTATAATCCCCTCTAAATAGTTAACAGATAAGGACAATAATTCTAGCTTTTGGCACTTGAATAAACCAATTGGTATTCTGCCAGAAAGCTGGTTTCCACTCAAATAAAGCCCTTTTAGTTTGGGTAGATAATCAAACATATTTGGTGGGATATGACCAGTGAGATTGTTAAATGTTAAATCAATTCCTTCTAAAGAAGAAATGTTGAGTTGGACGGAGGGTATTGAACCAATTAGCTGGTTGTCACTGAGATCAATATTCACCAATGAAGATATGTTGAAGACCGAGGAAGGTATGAAGCCTGAAAACTGATTCTTCTGCAAATATAACCATCTCAGGCTAGAAAGATTTCCGATTGCCACAGGAATCTGTCCATATAGATTGTTTTCATACAAGCTCAAGAGCTCTAGTTTTAACAAAGAACACAAAGAAGATGGGATAACTCCCATGTAGTTGTTACCACTCAAAGACAAGTTCTGAAGTTCTATGAAGGAACCAAACCAGGAAGGGATTTCCCCGTTGAAATTGTTGTTTTTCAAACTTAAAAATTTCAGCCGACGCAAATTAGCCATTTCGATAGGCAATGAGCCATGAAAACTGTTGTTTCCAATGTGGAGCCTAGCAAGGAACGACAGATTTCCCAGGTGTGGTGGTATGGTACCGGTGAGATTCATGCCAACAAGATTCAGAGCCGTGACTCTTTTGTGCCGAGAACCGCAAGCGACACCAATCCAATTGCAAACAGAAGTAACAGTTGACCAATTGGTTGCCAGGAGGTTTTGAGGATCACTATTGACTCGGGCTTTTAGTGCAAGAAGAGCCAACTGGTCAGTGTTGATATTGGTTGCTGCTTTAGTAGAGAATGAAATCATAAAACTAGACAACAGAACCGCCACCATAAGAATCGGAATGAAGCGAGTGTTTCCCATTATTACAATTTTTAACTGGAAGTTGTGAGAGGAAAATTTTTGAATTATCGACGAAAGATAATCTTTTTCTCCATGCTTATAATTTTTTCAAGTCAGTAGGTCTTTCTAAAGTCTTTAACGTATCCACCTTTTTTCATATTCATTTTAGACGGTCCTTTCCATGCATTTCAATTAAAAATACATCCCTTTTTTTTATTTTAAGAAAAGATAAAGGAAAAGGAGCAACTTTGACAAAACCCTCCTCTTGTCCCCAAAAAGAAGATCTCAGTGTTATCATTGGATATTTGTATGTTTTCCCAGAAAATAAGAGTAGACTCAAGTCTAGTCCTACGCTCTAAATAGTGATAAGCATGAATCTCATGTTTTTTACCAAACCATCATAACGACATTATCGAAAGATTGCTATAATTTTTCCCAAACCTTTGGACATAAAGATTGAGACAAATGTTCGAAAAAAAAAAACCATTTTCTTCAAAATTTCTTCAAAAATGCATTCATACATCATAAATCCATAAATTGATATATGAAATAAATCATAATGTAGACATCCTCTTTAATCTGGGGTCGAAATCGATTGAATTCAAGTCTTTTCGAGTCCAATTATAAATTTTGGATTTTTATTTTTATTTTTTATTATTTTATTTTTCATTTATTGAATTTATGATATATATTTATCTTGTTTTTTGTTATTATTTTGTTTATACTTATCTTTATTGGATATTAAAAAAAAGGAAAGGGTTTAACGGTCGAAAATAAAGCTATAGAAAGGGTCGACGATATTGGGATGATAAGACTGGTTTTATCATGATCGAATGTAAATCCTTCAAGATAAATTTTATTTTCATGATAATTCCTAGTTTTTGAATTTGAAGTAATCCAAAATTCTCCCGGTTTTGGTCTTATAAATAGACTTAAAATTTGATAGAAAAGAACACATACATCAATCAACAAAGAAACACAAGCAATCAAGAAAGGTAGCAAAAAAAAATCAAAGAGAAATCACACAAAAAATCAAAGAGAAAATAAGCAATAAAGTTTTTTTTGGCAAAGAGGTTTTGAAGAAATTTCTTTGGGAATTTAAGGTTCATGGGTTTTGATTTAGTTTGATTCAGCTATTGGAAGATTTAGGAGGTCTAATTGGTGTTTTTGGCATTTTTTCTAAAAATTTCTAGAAAATTTTATGAACTTGAATTTCGTGATTGAATTTTTTAATGAGATTCAAGTTTTTTGATGAGATTTTGGCCAAAAATCCTATATTCCGACATGGTTTTTCCGAATCCAATGACAAACCTAGATCCCAATTGAATTTTCAATAATGGAAGAATTATTTGATGAAAATCGCCAAAATGCAATCACCAGTTTTCTCTATCTAGAGAGAGAAGCAAAAGGGAAGAGGGATAAGGGAAATTGAAATCTAAGAAAAGCAAGAGATTTTTAGAGCTCTTATACCATCCAAAAATGACGTTGTTTGGGCTTTTAATTTGGTGTTGACCAATATATTTTGCCACTCATCCAACTCGATCTGATCGTAACTCGACTTGTAACTTGAATCCACTTCAACACCAAGCTATTTTAAGTCGAGCCAAAGCTAAGCCATTCCAGTTGCTCCTGGTTCTTGTAGCATAGCCACATTGTAAGCCAAGCTGAACCAACTCCATTTTTGTATTTTTTAGGATATTTATTTATTTATTTATTTTTGAAATATTTTTACATGATTAAATTTTTAGGAAAAGGTAGAGGAAGTTTTTCTAAATTATAAAAATTTATATAATAAAACTTTAATAAAATTTTTTGGAAATAAATTATAATTATTAGAAAATAAAATTCTTAGAAATTACAAATAGATAATTTCTAAGAAATTTTTAGGTGAGAAATTTATCTAAATATGACCAAAATTGAGGAAAATTTAGATAAAATTTCAATAACAATAATTAGTATTTATTTTCAAATATATATATACTAAAGTTTATAAAATTTTGTGAATGGGTTAACAATTATCTATAATGAGATTCTTAGAAATTTCAAATAGTTAATTTTCTAAAAAATCTAGGTGAGAAAGTTTTCTAAATTTAACCCAAATGTGAAATGTTTTAAACAAAATTTCAATAAAGATAATTGCATTCAATTCCAAACCAAAAATAAAAAATATATAACTTATGGATTTCTAGGTAAAAAATCTTTTCTAAATTTAACCCAAATAGTGAAAAATTTTGGATAAGATTTCAAACAATAATTGTCATTTTATTTTTTATTTTAAAAATTAGAAAATAAATAATGAATAAGATTCAACAATAAGAGTCCAAATTCTAAGAAAAATATTTAGAATTTAACCCAAATTGTGAAAAATTTAGACATACCTCAATACAATAAAAATTTAGATATAGAAAACCCAGAATAAAGAATAAATTTTAAGAAAAAATTCTTAATAATTGCAAATGGATGATTATCTAAAAAACTTGTCTTTGGTGGCTTTTATAAGTACAAATGATGCTATTTGAATATTTAGTGGCATTTTGATAAAAAAAACGCCTTAAGTTCTTGTGAGAAAACACTTATTTACAGTTGGTTGTAATCTTGTAATCTGTATATTTATATTTGTATCTCTAAAATTAAATATTTGTATGCCTAGAATTAAGGAAGATTTAGTTTCCTAGTTTAATCCCTAGTTAGTTGTATATAAACCTAAGATTCTTGTATAATTAAAAATAAGCAGTTTTTCAATATACATTCAGTTTCCACATGGTATCAGAGCTTTAGGCTCTTCTTGGGAAGCAAAATTTTCAGCCTTCACTACTGAATCCTGTTTAGGCCTTCATTGCCGAACTCTTTCAAAGAAAGATATCACTACCACCCAATTTAAGGAAATGTTAACGGAGAAAATCATTAGAGTACTACAGATGTCTCAAAAATAAGGAGAGTTCAACAGGGAAAAGATTGAAAAGCTGAGAAACTTATTGAAAATCTTTGAAAAGCCTACTATGGTATGTTCTTTGGGTAAAGTTTCTAGTTCAGGTAAAGCTTTCGGTTCTCATGGATTAAATGTCTCGGCTAAGTTTATTACGAGTTCTTGGGTCATTGACTCAGGAGCCACAGACCACATGATACATTCCTCACAAAAGTTTAATATATATAACCTATGTCCTAGTAATAAGAAAATTATTGTTGCTGATGGTTCACTTACCACAGTGGTAGGACTAGGAGATGTTCAAGTTAATCCCTCGTTTGTTCTAATAAATGTTCTTCATGTTCCTGGATTGTCTACTAATCTTATATCTATACAAAAACTTACCAGAGATATGAATTGCAAAGTAACTTTTTATCCCTCTTATTGTGAATTTCAGGACTAGAGTTCGGAGAAGATGATTGGACTTACTAAGGAGAATGATGGACTATACTATCTTGAGACATCAAATAATACAAGTAGTATCAAAAATAGTTTACCTTTGTCATTTCTTTCTGAAAAATCTTTCAATAAAGACAAAATCTGGCTTTATCATTTTCGTCTTGGACATTTTTCTTTTGGAACCTTGAGAAACATGTTTCCTTCTTTGTTCAAAGGATTAAATGTTGAAGATTTTCATTGTGATATTTGGAAATTTGTAAAACATAGACGTGTGTCTTTTTCAATCAGTAACAAAAGAAGTTCTACTCCCTTTTACTTGATTCATAGTGACATTTAGGGTCCCTTTATAATTTCTAATATTTTTTGTGCAAGATGGTTTGTTTCATTCTTAAATGATTGTACTAGGGTCTTTTAGGTTTTTTTACTTAAATCCAAATCAGATGTGAATAGTATGTTTTTAAGCTTCCAAAACATGATTTAAAATCAATTTGGAGTGAGAATCAAAAGATTTAGGTCTGATAATGCAAGAGACTACTTCAACTAGAGTCTATTCACCTATTTTCAAAAAGAAGGGATTATCCATGAGTCATCTTGTGTTAATACTCCATAGCAGAATGGAGTGACAGAAAGAAAAAATAGCCATTTACTAGCCACAACCCGAGCCTTTCTTTTTCAAGCAAATGTACCTAAATCTTATTGGGGGAACTGTTCTCACTGCCATACACATTATAAATAGGTTACCTTCAAGAGTTTTGAGATTTAAAACTCTATAGAACTACTCTCACAATTTTATCCCAACCTCAATACCACAAACAATCTCACACCTAGGATATTGGTTGTACATCATTTGTTCATGTTCATAGTCATAACAGGGAAAGTTGGATCCAAGCGATTAAGTATATTTTTGTGGGTATTCTTCACTCAAAAAGGATATAAGTGTTATCATCCTCCTACCAAAAAATTTTATGTGTCTACAGATGTCACTTTTGAAAAAAATAAATCATTTTTTACTCAACTTTATCTTCAGGGGGAGACTTCATTCATGGAAGATAAGGATAAAAACTTTTTTTTGCTTGATTTTCCTCATTCTTCAACATTTACACCCATTAATTCTTTTGAGTCGAAACCTGTTTCTGCTGAGCCCAAGTCAAACATTGAATTTGAGTCTGAACCCATTCCAAATACAGAAGATGTGACAAAGGATAATATTGTTCTTGATTTTATGAAGGAATTATAGGTGTACTCAAGAAGAAAAGTTTCAGATCCTAAACCAGTGCCAGTCCAAGAACCTGATCCTAACTCTGGAAATGAGGTAACTACAGTTTTTGACTCTGTTTCTCAAAATGAGCATGAATCTTTTAAAACTATAACTAGTGATTATGATTTGCCTATTGCCATTAGGAAAGGAACCAGAAAATGCACCAAGCATCCACTATACCCAATATCTAATTTTGTGTCATTTGAAAAATTCATACCATCCCACAAAATTTTTCTTGTGAGCCTAAACACTATTTTTGTTCCAACTACATTATTCGAGGTATTATCCAGTGAGAAATGGAGGCAAGCCATGAAAATAAAAATGGAGGCCTTAGAGAAAAATCAGACATGAAAACTGGTAGAGTTGCCTAAAGGAAAAAATCCAGTGGGGTGTAAATGG